ATTTTATATGTGTAGTGATGAGGTAAAAATAAGCCTGTTTAAAGCTTACTGTACATCCTTGTATACATCTCCTTTGTGGTGTAAATTTAAAAAAGCTAGCATGCAGAAGCTTAAAGTTGCTTATAATGACGCTTTGAGAATTCTGCTTAAGAAACCCAGATTCAGCAGTGCTAGTGAGATGTTCTGTAACGCACATGTTAGAACATTCCAGGCACTTATGAGAAATCGAATATACAAGTTTATATGTCGTTTGGGCAGCTCATTGAACAGTCTTGTTATAATCTTTTCACATCCCTCTAGTGCACTAAGATACCAGTCGGCTCTGTGGAAATATTGGTATGCAAGTCTTTTATAAGATGTCTTTTCTTTTTCTTTTTTTTATATATATGTACATAAATGTGTTGTGTTGTTGTGTGTCTTCTTTGTGGACTGCGAGTCTGTTGAATAAAGTAATCATTCAAGTGTCATTCAATATATTTAAACTCATGTCAATAAATATTATAATTCCTAAACAGCATGCCACTTTATATATATATATATATATATATATATATATATATATATATATACCGGTATATATATATATATAATTACAACTGTAACCATACAGTCGTATGTTTACTGTACGTCACCTTTTTTTTCAACACAGTGTTTTTTTCTAATCACAGTGTTTTATTACAACTGCTTACCTTTATCAAGGCTAGACAGCTGTACTAAACTAAATTTCTTTTTGTAAACATTTGTGTGAGAAAAATGACAAAATAAAATCTGTCTAAGTCTAATTCTAAGTCTTTAGGTCATTGGCAGAGTTGTAAAACAGGACAGTAAGATTACGGGACAACAAAAATCAATTTGTCTCAGCATTACAGTAAAGTGGTACATCGTGTCAGTCATAATATCACAGATGATGATAAGCATCCACTGTCCCGTCACTTTGAGCTCCTTCCATTACACTAGATATACAGACTTTCTTGTGCCAAAAAAATTATACAGAAATTATTTTGTGCCCTCTGCCTTCAATGAGCTGAACAAGTAGGAAATATCACTCGGTCTGTTCTGCTTTTTTTTCCCTTGATGAAGTAAATCTGCTGTTGTGTCTGCAATTACCACATTTATAATTGGATTTTAATGTATTTTTACGTTGTTGTGTATGAGCAAGCCCAAGGCAAATTTCTGCCATCTTTGTGTAAGGTAGACAATAAAGTTTTTCCATTCTATTCCATTCTAAATCCCGTATTGTTAAAAGTTTTTATTCCAACTCAGTCCGTTTTAGATTCTCTGGACAGAGAAATCTGTTAACTGTCTGCTTAACTGTTTTGCTTTTAATAATTGCTAAAGAGCTGAGAGAGAACAGCCGCCTGCATATACAAGGCCAGTGTCTTTGTGGGTGTGCAAGTGTTCTGTACTGTGATTGCTTTGGGTGTTTGACTGGACACTCGCCAAGACGTAGAATAAAACTCCCACACAGACACACTTTGTTAAAACAAGTATGAATTTATTCTTTCAAGAACATGTCTTTTTCTTCAACAGTAAAAATAAATAACAAACAGTATTTAATATATTGACGATCTCTTCTCAGATACAAAACATGAAACATGCAGAGTGTCAATCTAACAAAGGAAAACTTGGGAAAATGGTATAACTGGCACTTTGGTCATCTGAAAGTGACTTCATGTTCACTAGAGAGCACCCTGGCTCAGTTTGACCTCCTGTAGGAGTTTGAACATGGGACTAAACAGCAGGATGGCACTGAATATTTCACACAGTCCTTCTCTGTTGTGGTAAGAAATGTTAAAATATTGGAGAGCACAGAAAAGCTCACATTCCATCTGCTGCAAGCCTGAAGATCTTTAATATTACCACCCACTATTATACTATCCTTGTCTTTGCCTGGTCAACTTTGTTGAAGGATCCTTTCCATTTCCCTTGGAAAATGAAGCTTGAGATAAACAGTGTAACATTTGGCAAACAGACAATAACTAAAGGGATAGTTGAACATCTGCATATTCCCTATCTTTAAGTGAATGCCTGTATTTAGGAACTTCCCTTTTCTGCTTTACCTATTTCCCCAATGAAAATGTTTTCCAACCTTACTTTTTAGACTATGCTTACATCATCTCAACCAGTCTGCACGTGAGTCTTAATTTATCTTATGACTGGCTTCAGATCCTTGTATTGCTCTCTTAGTTTTGGTAGCAAAAAGCATCCAATTTGCACCTCATCTGTCAGTTTGGCACTACCCGTTAGTGAGTCAAAGAAGTGCTAAATCTAGTGACGTATCTGCCTTTGCAGAGTTGCCAATTTGTGATTCCATTCATTGCCTTGGACGCACACACTCACGCTCAGAGAGCGACAGCCGCACATGTGACTGTGTGGTCAGTTCTTTGATTCCACACATTCTTTACACAGTTCTGTCACCAATCTCCTGTTTTGTTTTTTTTGATTTACCATATTCCCTTCAGCATTCATTTTGCTTCAAATATCAACCTTGGTCCCCCACAAAAAAATCTTCTAATTATAACAGATTTATCAAAGAAAGGCATGATGCAGGAAATATTCAGTGTATCTTTTATATCAAGATCATTCATTGGCATTCAAGTTAACATTCATCACACATTATATCAATATGTCACAGAAAGACATCCAAAATCAAAAATCTCCAGCTTCCCGAAAGAAAGCATTCTCTCTATGTGGTTGTTGCAAAACAACATAATATTTACAGAGGATGTTGAAAGATTTGCGATGAAAGAGCAGAAGAACTACAGATGAGCCAGTTTATTACTTATCTCTTAGGTTGCTGCTTCTACTGCCAGCACTGACACTCTCTTATTGCTGCTCAAACACTCACTTATTCTCGTTCTCTCTCTGAACCATCTTGAATTCCTCTCTGTTGTCTTCTTCACAGTATTGCTGTTCTTCTATCTCTCACCTGCTTCACTATGCACGGTGCTCTGTCTAGTAGAGGCACAAGCCTTCACAGTTTTCCTGGATCCAAATGAAAAGTAATTGTGCTGGACCACAAATATCAGTCTGAACACTCACATGACACAAACCTATTTACATGACACTTTAAGTGGTTACAGTAGTGTAATTACTGTACAGTGGTTCTAACAGTAATTGTAGCATTCATAGCAACCAGACAACTGGATGCACTAATTGCACTAGTAGTACTGACTAAAGTTGAGGTGACAGAATTGACAACATTGTACACAACTGCTATCAAATTGCCTTCTTACTGATGATGGACTCAGCCCTCTTTGTCTTGATCGCAGGGAGTCGTATCACAGGTAAGGCACAGAAAGCCATACCTGTAGATCACTGTAGATGATTGTAGCTGAGGAACTCTTAGCAGCCCTGAATATGTGTTAAGCCCTATAGGTGTTAGATTAAGAATCTAGCCATTTCCCCAATCTCCCACGCTGTTCTTTGAGGATTGACAGCACAGTGGGCAAAGGGGGTATAAAGAGTCTAACAGGATTCCTACAGCCTCTAAAACAGGCTGCAATGGAAGGGTGTGGCACTAAGAGTTCAGTTCAGCCAAATAGTAGGTGGAGGCAAAAGGTGAACGTAGAGAGGGCTAATAGAGAAAGTGGAGAAGGTAAGGACGATCTGGGAGAGGAGGAAGATGGTGGCAAATCAAACTCAGGACATTCAACCTCAATGCATCGCAATGTGAAACCTGGGTCTTCATTGCCATAGTTAGCCCAGTATTCTTCAAGCTCAACTTTGGGCAGAGCCAGCTCTTCTTCCCCCAGTTCATACTTGACCACAGAGGTGGTCGTAGATGGGCCTTTTCCATACAAGCCAGCTTTGACAGTCTCTGACGACTTCTCAAAGAGGCCTTTAGTAGAGGACTGAGGCTTGTTTTTATGGAACCACCAGCGGGTCTTGGTGCTGAAGGTGGTGGTAGTGGAGCCAGCAATAGAGCCAGGATCAGGCAGGGGGCAGAGGGCGAAGTCCATCTCACGGAGGAATCGGAGGTCCTGGCCACGGCGGTCGGAAGGGGAGGCACAGATTACCTCAGATGATGACACACGGGCCTCACGGAACCACTCCCACAGAGCACGGGCCTCACAGCCACAGGACCAGGGGTTGGCGTTGAGGCGGAGGAACTCGATGCCCTGGGTGTCCCTCAGAGTCTGGCTTGGCAGCTCAGCCAGGGAGTTGTTGAAAAGGAACAGCATTGTCAAACGGCCCAGATCACGGAAGGCGCGTCGGTTCACCTGACGGATGCGGTTGTCGTGAAGAAGAAGTCGGTCAAGGTTGACCAGGCCGCGAAACACATTCTCTGAAAGGGTGCGAATGCGGTTGCCATGCAAGAACAACTGACTCAGGTTGATGAGGTCAGAAAATAGGTCATCTTGCAGATGGTTCAGGTTGTTTTCCTGAAATGCATAAAAATGAGAATTTAACAAACTGTGTTTGATCTGTGCATGTGATGAGTGAATGTGGGTGGCTGCACGTGTATGTGAATCAGAATTTCAACAATGTGTTCTAGCGCCCCACACCTGCAGGTAGAGGAACTGTAGGCTGTAAAGTTTGTGGAAGATGTCATGGGGCAGTCTTGAGAGCCGGCAGCGGTGCATATGGAGGCTCTGGAGCTTTTCAAGGCCTCGGAAAGCTCCCCCTTCAAGCCTGTGAAGTGTGGGGTTGTCTCCCAGATCCAACTCCTCCAAGTCCCTCAGCTCACTGAAGGCGCCTGCCTCAATCCACGTGATGTTGTTGGAGAACAGCCACAGAACCTTCAGGGAAAAAAAATTTTAGAATTTCAATTTACCGTATTTATAGTTTTTTTTTTTTTTTTTTTTTTTTTTTTTTTTTTTTTTTTTTGTTTGTTTTTTTGTTTAACTCAAATGTTAGGTTTAAATATTGATTTTAGTTTTTTAATAAAAGGTTTAAAATTGAGTTCTGCTTTCACAGACAGAAAACGCTGTTGGGCTTCTTTTTTTTTTTTTTCCTCCTACCTGAGTTCCGAAGCCAAAAGAGCCAACTCTGAGCTCCATTATCCGGTTGTTCTGGAGGAATACGCGCTGAGATTCATAGGGCACTCCCACGGGGACGGCAGTGAAGTTTTGCGCCTGGCAGCTCACAGTCATGGGTGTCGGGTAGCACACGCAGCGGTGCGGACACGCCGACGCCGGACTTGGCTTGCCGAGGACCAACCACACCACCAGCCAGAGAGAGAGACCGCCTGGAGGAGAGCAAGAAAAGAGACAGAGAAGGAAAGAGGTGAGAGTTGTCCGCGGTATTGAATTAACATTCCGTTATCTTGCACAAAAGCATGGCTATCTCAATCTTAAGGCATCTGGACTCATTTGCACTATTTCTTTTTTATTTTGTCATACAAGTAATGTGCTTGTATATCCTGAAAATAGCGAAACTGCAAATACTAAAAATGATGAACAGATATGACGCTTGCGCACTCGCTCCGACCATTACGCACAGCTTGGCCACAAATCCGCCCAGTCCAAAACACTAAAATCATTTTTCAGACTGAAGTAAAACTATTTTTTATCTACTCACAAATACAAAAATAACATTCTTTATATCCAAAAGTAAAAAAAATACAATTTAATGATACAAAATCGCCGTTATGTATTTGCGTAGTAAATCATCCATCATCCATCCACTTTTTCCGATGTTTGTAGGATCAATCATGAAGTTCTATCATATTAAACTTAAATAAATCATGGAATGGTTTTTATCATAAATTAAAAGCGCTCTATGTTCAATCCAAGAGCTGACACAAGCTACAGGGAGACAGAAAACAAACTTACTTTTGCAGTTGCGCATGATGGAGCTTCGTCGGCTCCGAGAAATAGAAGAGTTGTCCATCCTGAACCAAAGCCCAAAGCGAGTTAGCCTGAGAGGGCGAAAAAAGCCTTGCTATCTCCGCTGATGCCCTGGTTCCCGAGTCGGAGCGACTGAGAGTGTGCCTTTCCATGGCCACAACTGTCCCATATATACTCGAGCATGCCGTAGTTGCCTACGGCAGTGGGCACCGTGGAATCTCCTACGTCACTGCACGGGGGTCATGAATGAATGAGGGCGGCGAAAGAAACGGAACGAGGAGGGGCCAACCGCGAGGGGATTCTCGAGGAGAGCTTCTACGCGCGTAAAAGGCTGGTTGGAGACGTGCGCTATGGACTGTGAGAGGAGGAGACTTTCTCGACGCACGTTTGTGATGGCAGAGGAAAGGGAGGGTGGCAGAATGAGTCTGTGTCTATGTGTGTGTGCGTGTTGGAAATGAGGGAGGTTGGAGCAAGCCAGTAAGGCAATGCGCCCGGTGATGATGACTGGGCTTTGTGGAGAAGCGTAGGACGGGTAGAAGAGGCTTGTTTCCTGGCTTGCGTTTTGAGAGACAGTTATGGTCTGTTTCCGGCGTTCTGCACCCAGACAGATTGATACAAGAAAAAAAAGTCCTATGGATGGTTCTCTTCTAGAAAAGGAGGATGCCCCCGACTTATGATTTAGTCACAAGAGTGCGAGTCAATCAAAACAATCGTCAATTAAGAGTATTTTGTTGGGCTTAATTGCAACATGTGCACTCATATAAATTGCTGTTTAATTAAAGTCCCCTGACCTCATTATTGATGATGGAGATATGAAATGCCATTGCAAAAAGTAATGTACAATCGAAAGGAATGTTATGATATGTAAAAGCACTCACAGTTTAATTAAGTTTAATTTTTGTTTTGTAAAAACCTGAACTTTGTAGCACAGTTAATGCAGAAATTAAAAATTTACGTTTTGATTTCTTTTTTTATTACCAGAAGAACTAGAAATCCATTGCAACTAGTTATTTTACATCCCTTCTAATTGGCTAACAGAGTCCACCTTAATCCGACTTTATAATAAACACAGCTGTTGAATGCCTCAGAATTTTGTTAAAAATCTTAAGTGTACATACAGTGGTCTAAAACACCCAGAGTTGGGCACAGAGTAGCAATACATGTCATTCTAAAAACTAAAGTGATGCACCTGGCCACTAGGATTTACCCAAGAGGACTCCAGTCATTTTAGAGGACTTGCAGGAATCCATATCTCAGGTGGGCTATTTATGAAAGACTCTACAAATCTGGCTCTTTTGAATAAATGGCAACATAATAGCCAATGTTGACAGATATACCCAGAAGCCTTTTCTGCAATTTCCCACAAGCCATGTAGGTGATGCTAGAAACACATAAAGGAGTCCCACATTAGTAAAATTAACCAAAATTAAACATTTTTGGCAGAGGTGTAGCCAGAAATTTTTTTATAAGGGTGGCCAGGCAATAACCAATGTACACTGAGGGGTGGCCAAAAGCGGATAGGCACCAGAACTTCAGGGTCAATCAATAGGATTCCAACAGGAAAATTCACAAGAAAAACATCCACATTTTATAAATACAGACAAACTATACTTTCCTACAGCCTTTACAAACAAATAATAATTTACATAAATTACATAGTAAATGTAATTTCTAGATAAAAGGTATAGTGGATAAAACTCTTTCAGTTTTAGTTCCGGGTCTTAAAGCTTTTCCATTGTCATTACTTACTTACTGGTATCAATAAACAGTCTGCATAAAATTGATATTTACAAGCACTAATATCTACATAAAATGATTATTTAATGAGTTCTGTACTTATCATCTTTGACGTTAGTTTATTGATGTGTATAATTAACCACAATAAAATTTAACTGTTTTGAATATTCCACTTGAGACTATTACTTCTGCCACCATCTGTATTAGGGGGGGGGGGAGCAGGGATTGGCTAAGTGATTAGCTAAGGGTGGCCATGGCCACCCCTGGCCCCGCATCTAGAACCACCCCTGATTTTAGCCAACAGGGAAAATTATGTGCATGTCAGTGGNTTAGCTAAGGGTGGCCATGGCCACCCCTGGCCCCGCATCTAGAACCACCCCTGATTTTAGCCAACAGGGAAAATTATGTGCATGTCAGTGGAGAATACTGAAAACCATATATATATATATATATATATATATATATATATATATATATATATATATATATATATATATATATATATATATATATATCACTGAAAATACAACATGCTTTCACAGTTTAAAGCATTGCTGATTATAAAGGGAGTCTGACCAGCAACTTCATTAGAGCTCAAGGGAAGATAGATGGATTAAGATGGGAGGCTATTGACACAACGCATGGAAGTAAACCTTTTTAAAAAGAACCTGAGTTGGAGGTTTACTGTACCTAACAGTAGTACAAATAGCCCTAAGCCCACAGACATATTCACAATCAGATTATTTAGATAGAAGTGTTCTCCCATGGAAGAAAATTAGAATTGTCAGAGGTTTGTTTTTTTTTTTTTTTTTTTTTTTTTATAAAAATATTTAGACGCATGCGTAAAAGATATTTAGCAATCACTGAAGTGAAGGCTGGATCTAATGACTATGGGGAAAATACACATTCTCAACAGACTTTAGATTTTTTTTTAATTTTGAAATAAAATGTATGATTTTTTTTAATTTCAAAAGTTCTGAAAAAAAAAGAGTTTAGGGGGTAGAGATATTTTTTTTGCAATAAGCTGTTTATTTCCTACAATGATATTATTCTTCAGATCATTGGTAATTATTATTATTTCATCAATGGCCAGCAAGTTGATAATAACTATAAAATAAAAACTAAAACAATTCCCAACATGAAGATATATCTTATTGTTTTTCCCATAATTTCACATTTAGAAATTGATTTGCGCAAAAGCAAAGTTATAAGTTGTCACAGTGACATAGTTGCAACTGATGGCATGTTACTGTTGGCTATCAATCACAAGAAGTGACAGCTTGAGAGTCACAGCTGAACAGACTTGAAGTGGCATCCATATTTAGGCATCTGTTGTGTTTTGTGGTTTTTGTGCTCTCTGGAACTACTACTTGCCACTTTTCCCTCCTCATTTGAAATCAGAAGACCAGTATCTGAAGTAGTGTGATAAAAGCTGAGAAACAGCCATGATAACTGAGATTAATTTGGTTAAACAAAATTGGTTTACTATGTCCTATTTAAGTATTGATTACATTAATTGATTACACCCAATTAACTCACACTAAGTCAACACCTTGTATGACAACCTTCCACCTTCATTTAAGTTTTTTTTTTGTCTCTTAAAAGCTTTCTCTATTAGCAAACGACAAATTTTGCTCTTCTTTTTTAGCTTCAAATCAAATATAGCGCTTCTGTGAAGAGCCGATTTCAAGGTGTTGTGGCCTATCCAGAGCTGTTGTCCTTCTTTAAGGACTTTCTAATCAAGTTTTTTTCTGTTTCCTTTAGTGCTGTCAGTTTTATCTCAATACATATTTATGTCACTTCTGAGATAAAGACAACCTTAAGCATCATGCTACCACCACCATATTTCATCATGTGGTTGGTGTGTTTAAGAGGATCTGCAATGTTCAGTGATCAACCCAGGCCAGAAAGATACATTTCGGTAACATATGACCAAAACACCTTCCTTCATATGTTTCCTATGTGTTGTGCAATAACTATATATTTAATGCCCACTCAGCAGGGGTGGCAAATATGTTATGTAATGAAATTACTTTCAGACTGTCATATTTTTGTTTACATGCTTAACTTCCAGCTTAAATTATGGTAAAAGTTTTTTCTCCCACAACTTCCATTCAAAATATAAGAATTTACGAATAAAAATCATTCAGCTCTAACTCAAACATATTTCAGTTTAAAACGCTTGAGTAAACTAGTGAAACTCAGCTGAACTAAGATAATATGTACTTATAATTATAAATAGGTTCAATGATATCACAGTTTGGCAAAGGAAGGGGAAAAAAAGGTTAAAAACTATAACTAATAAAATAATGCAATGATAGTACAGTTTGCAAGGAATATGTTTGAGAGCCAAAGTTTATTTTTAAGAGTTTGGAATAAGGTCAAATTAGCTTTTATGTTGTTCAAGTTGTTCAAACCAATTCACAATGCAATTCCAAGGACTTAGACTTTAGACTTAGACAACTTTTATTGTCATTTGATATACACAGAGTGTTTACAAAACGAAATTTTATAAGTACAGCTTTTCAGACAGTAAATGATAATTTCCATTCCATAAAGTCCAGCAGTGGTCAGATGTAAACCGTGTGGGAGAAAAGAAAACGGTGCAAAATATGGGGAAAATGTGCAGTATTTTTGGTTTGGTGACATGATTTCAGGGCAGCATGGAGAACAGTCCATGGTGGTGGAGGGGGGGGTCATTGATTTTACGGGCTTGGGGCACGCAGCGCTGGGATGAAATGTCCTTTATGGAGGGAAGAGGAGCCCCACTGATCTCACTACTTTTCTTACGTTCCTCCAGTCTGAGATGCTGCAGCATGCACACCACACAGTGAGACAGCTGGTCAGAACGCTCTCTATGGTGCTTCTGTAGAAGGTGGTGAGGATGGATGGGGGCAGATGGGCTCTACTTATCCTCTGCAGGAAGTACGAGGTGGTGTTTACAGTCCAGGTGAGGTTGTCTGTGACGTGCACCTCCAGGAATTTGGTGCTGTTGACCACCTCGACAGCTGAGATGTTGATGACCATTGGAGCGTGGTTAGACCGGTTCTTCTTGAATTCGACGATGATGTCCTTCGTCTTCTCCACGTTCAGGATCAGGCTATTATCTCTGCACCAGTCCACGAGCTGCTCCACCTCCTCTCTGTAGTCCAGGTCATTGTTGTTTCTGATGCAGTTCACCACCGTGGTGTCATCTGCAAACTTCACGATGTGATTGGTTGTGAACCTGGGGACGCAGTCATGTGTCATCAGAATAAACAGCAGGGGGCTCAGGACGCAGCCCTGAGGGGAGCCTGTGCTTAGGGTGATGACATCAGAGGTGTTCTATCTGACCCGGACTGACTGAGGTCTGTTTGTGAGTAAGTCTAACAGCCAGTTGCAGAGGGGTGTATTGAAGCCCAGCTGTTCCAGTTTGCCCATCAGATGCTGTGGGATGATGATGTTGAAAGCTGAACTGAAGTGGAGGAATGGTATTCACACGTGAGTGTTCTTCTCCTCCA